CCTTGTTTTACGCGACGGTCGTTTTTCTGTCGCGCAAAGTTGTTTTGCGTGATGAAATGTATTGGTCGCTCTATTTTGCGCTACGCATATGATTGTCCGTCACGCGATGACCTTTTATACGACGAAATTTCTTCGTCGCGCTACTTTGCGCTACGCATATGAGTGTCCGTCGCGCGAGGATCTTTTATGCGACAAAAGTTCTTCGTCGCTCTTGTTTGTGCTACGCATATGATTATCCGTCGCGCGATGATATTTTATGCGACGATTTGTCCTTCGTCGCGCAAACTATCGTCGCGCAAATAGAAAAATGTAGTAGTGATACGATCCGAACGTTTCTTCTTTTTGCCAGCATGACCCAAACGGTTAAATTCACAATTAAAACCTATAATAAAATAATTAAATATGCAAATCAACCCTATTATAAACAGACAATTAATAATGATTGATTTACAGACAAAATTTTTGGAGGGAATCACCACAACAAATTGGGGAACCAAAATTAAAACACTACCACATAGCTAGCACATTGAATTTTAAATAGGGGTATTTTGGGAATCTAAAAATTATAATAAATCATATCTTGAGCTTGATAAGTAACTTAATGAGTTGGATCCTAGTCATGGATATTACTTATAAAAATTGGATATTATTTATAGGAACAAAAAATGAAGGGTTGCAGGCAAGGAAAATTTAAGCAATAGTGAATGCATATTTTTGGGAAAAAAAAAAAGGCAATCCCAAATAGGACCAGTATCACACTTACCTTAAAATTGATGATATTTCATAAGAAAATGGCCTTTGTGGAGTGGGATTTAAGTTGGTGATTAGGTTAGACAAGATTTGGTTTGGGATGGCCAAAGGTCGTCGTTTGCCATTCTTCGTTTACAAACAAATTGCCCTTGTTGACCAAAATGAGGCACCTCGCCATGCATCGTCACTATTCTATACCTACTACATACCATTATTGTTGAAGGTTTGAATAGTTCTGCGTTGACCTGCTGTGAGTTTTGCTATCAATTGTGCAATTCACCAAATGTGAAAATAGAAAATTAACCAAACATCGCAAAATGTTTTTCAAATTTGGGCATATTGCAATGATCTTCTCTTTTTCAACAATAATCAATAATACTTTAATTATGTTTCAATAGCTGCTGGTCCACCAACTTTAGATAACTTTTCTATAATTTTGTTAGAAAAGAAACTGGTATGTAATTTTTACTATAATTTTTCAGTCCTTTTAGGTGTTTTAGTTTAATCGATAACTAATCTATAACTAGATAAACAACAAATCTGATCGGCTCATAATCTTGTCATACTGACTAAAAGGAATTTTAATCGCAATGATCCGTGTCCCTGAACTTATACATTTTTGTTCACCAATTCAATTCCGTGCCATTTTGGTCCTCTAACTCCTCATTGATGTCAATTCATTCATTTTTGTCCCATTTTCTGTTAATTTAAGTGTCATACTAAAATAAGTCTTTACAATTCAAAAACTCTAGAAAATAACCCACTAGTAATATACAATGTTTAAGTAAAACCCAATTTTAAATTATAATAAAATGTGTCCATGTAGGTTGAATTATTTACAAGATGCTATTTCAATCACCTAATTAAGGCAAATGAATAATACCTATTAGACAACCTAAACTGTTGGAAAACCCTAAACTCTCTCTAAAGGTGAAACTGTGAGCTTGCACTGCAGCCGTCGCCCCCTTATCGGGGTGGGTGGCTTCCCCATCTTACATCTTTCTCTCCTCGTCTCTCTTTCTACTTTCCTAGTTTTCTTCCCCTCTCCTCTTCTTTCCCCAGATTCCTTTGGATTTTAGGTCCTCTTTCCCAGATCTATATGGATCTTGTCTTTTGTTTGTTTGTTTGTGTGTTTTCTGTTGTAGGTCCTTGGTGACTTTTGTTGTTCTTGGATGTGTCTTGCTGTCGCTAGGATGGCTGCGGTGTGGTGTTGTCAACCCAGCTTTTTTCTTTGGTTTCCGTTGTGTTTTTGAAGCAAGTATTGCAACCCACCATAGATGCCATGATTTTGTTGCAACGTTTGGTACACTCACATGGATTTTGCTCCAGTTCAGTGTTTGGAGTTGAAAAAGTGATTATTGTCGGTTTGTGTGGGATCGGATTTTGCCTGTGCAAAATAATAGGTTTAGCCATGTTGGTGCTACGAGTCTCTTTGGTTTGCTGGAGAGGTTGTGGTGCGGTGTCATTGTTTCTGTGTTTATTTTAGTCTAATAATTCTCAGAAACTCATAGGAGTTTGTTGATGTTTGTATTTAGTGTTTGACTTTTCGATGCAGATTTGCCGTTACTATCGTTGCGTAGTGGATCTGTATTGTAGGTCTGAGTACATGTGCTTTTGTCTGCCGAATTGGAGGTTTTATGTTTTTTTTGGCATACGTAATTCTCTCCAGATCAAACCAATTTATTTTTGTGTTTGGTCATTGGGGATGCTGTACTCATATTTGGCATTGCGGCTATTCTGTACTTTTTTCTGTGTTATCAATAAAATTACTATCGATTTAAATCCAAAACAAAATATTTAAACATTACCTAATATCCTCCAGTATTATAGATGTATATGTATAATATATATTCTAATAGGTACAATACTCATAGAAAAATAGGTACGTTAATTAGATGACACTATGTAAAAAAAAAAAGGTAAAAATATATATATAGCTCGAACAGATTAATATTTTTTGGGTGCATTATATACAAATGAATTTTTTTTTTGGGTTTCGTACATTATATAGAAATAATGTACCTATTTTTTTGGTACCTATTATGTAAGAAAATAAGTACATTAATATAAAAAAAATACATTACAAATGAATTTTTTCTTTTTTGTGCCTATTAAATGATGATTGATTTACAGACAAAATTTTGGGAGGGAATCATCACAATAAATTGGAGAACCAAAATTAAAACACTACCACATAACACATTGAATTTTAAATAGGGTTATTTTGGGAATCTAAAAATTATAATAAATCATATCTTGAACTTGATAAGTAACTTAATGAGTTGGATCCTAGTCGTGGGTTTTTACTTATAAAAATTGGGTATTATTTATAGGAACAAAAAATAAAGAGTTGTAGGCAAGGAAAATTGAACCAATAGAGCATGCATATTTTTGGAAAAAAAAAAGAAGGTAAAAAATTAAGGAAAGCTTTGGCGAAAAAAAAAAAAAAGCAATCCCAAATAGGGTCATAGTATCACACTTACCTCAAAATTGGTGATATTTCATAAGGAAATGGCCTTTGTGGAGTGGGATTTAAGTTGGTCATTAGGTTAGACAAGCTTTGGTTTGGGATGGCCAAATGTCGTCGTTTGCCATTCTTCGTTTACCAACAAATTGCCCTTGTTGACCAAAATGGGGCACCTTGAGATGCATCGTCACTATTCTATACCTACTACATACCATTGTTGTAGGTTTGAATAGCTCTGTGTTGACCTACGTCGCAAAATGTTTTTCAAATTTGGGAATGCAATGATCTTCTCTTTTACAACAATAATCAGTAATACTTTAATTATGTTTCAATAGCTGCTGGTCCACCAACTTTAGATAACTTTTCTATAATTTTGTTAGAAAAGAAACTGGTATGTAATTTTTACTATAATTTTTCAGTCCTTTTAGGTGTTTTAGTTTAATCGATAATTAATCTAAAGCTTGATGAACAACAAATCTGATCGGCTCCTAATCTTGTCATATTGACTAAAAGGAATTTTAATCGCAATGGCCCTTGTCCCTGAACTTATACATTGTAGTCCACCAACTCATTTCCGTGCCATTTTGGTCCTCTAACTCCTCCTTGATGCCAATTCATTCATTTTGTCCCATGTTATGTTAATTTTAATCCAGTGAATAGCACGCGACATTATTTTTAGGGCTAAATTCGACTTTTGAGTCCATTCTAAGTCACCATAGGCAAAATTATGGCTAAATTGGGGTTCTAAGAATTTTGGTGAATTAGGATTTCAAATTCATGGGAAATGAGATAGTTACGTGAATTAAAGTTTCAATTTGGGGGAAATGGGTAGTCAAGAGTTGTGTCAGTCGCTTTAGAAGAATACTTGTTTTTGAATCAATTGTTTTACCCCTCAAAAATTACTCCTCAAATAGACAGTCAAATTGACAAAATGAGACGAAATGCAACAAAATAGTGGAATTGACATGAATGAGAGAGTTGGAGGGCTAAAATGACATGAAAATTAGTTGGACGACCAAAAAGGAACTCGGGTATAAATTTCAGAGATTATATTATGGTTAAAAACCCTAACTAAAATTTTATAGCTAGTTTCTTCATGGATATCTTTAACCAAGTAATTAATTTGATGGGTTGCATGGTGTTAAGTTGAAACTTGAATCATCTTTCAACTTCGGAAAAGGAATACCACTAAACTAATAGTTAGTTGGTAGCTTTTACTTCTACTCGATCATGCCGCGTCAGGAAATGTAGGCAATATATGATTACATGAGGCTGACACAATTGGGGTGAAACTATTTAACCTCAGCGCTTCAGTTAGTAGGCAGGACGACCAAACGAATATTGATTACATGAAATAAGACACTTCTCTCAGCCAGCATGGAATTAGTTGAACAGCCTGCGAAAACACCGACTAAGTCAGAGAAAAAGAAAAAAGAGATGAAATATTATGCAATGTATCAATTGTTAGCTGGGACGTGATCTGAAATTTGTCATCTAAATAAATTTGAAATCAATGGAGGGCATGGACTTGGAGGGTTCATAACTTGATGACCTAACACATCAACAACTTGTGTTATGCGTCGACAGTTTTTTGTCAATGTTTTTTTGTTGTTGTGTCTATAGCTAGCTAGCCCACCAACTAATAGATGAAGAGTAACTTGTAATGTACTACAAAACGTAAAAGCCCTAGCTAGCTTGCATATGAAATATTGTGACTGAAAAGGAAAATATTGTGAGAAATGTCTATATAAATAGGTTTCTTCTGTTCTTAATATTTGCAAGAAAAGCAAAGACATTAATTAGATCGAAATGGGAAAGAGCAAGGTGCTTGTGGTAGGTGGAACTGGGTACATGGGAAGAAGGATTGTAAATGCAAGCCTAGCCCAAGGCCACCCAACCTATGTCCTTCAAAGGCCAGAGATTGGCCTTGACATTGATAAGTTGCAAATGCTCTTGGCATTCAAGAAGCAAGGGGCTCATCTTGTGGAGGGCTCATTTTCTGATTTTCAAAGCCTTGTTGATGCTGTTAAGCTTGTGGATGTTGTCATTTGCACAATGTCTGGGGTTCATTTTCGTAGTCACAACATTTTGTTGCAGCTCAAGCTTGTTGAAGCTATCAAACAAGCCGGAAATATTAAGGTACGAAGAAGCTTAATCTCTCCAGACATCCTGTTTGTATTAGGCACATATATACAAATTAAGCAAGGATGGATTAAGATATTGCTTACAACAAACTCCTGGCTTTTTTGTGTAGCGTTTCTTCCCATCAGAATTTGGTCTAGATCCAGCACGTATGGGACATGCACTTGAACCTGGGAGAGTTACATTTGATGAGAAAATGGTGGTGAGAAAGGCAATACAAGATGCTAAAATCCCCTTCACTTATGTCTGTGGTGCTGGCTTTGCCGGTTATTTCGCCGGCAACCTTTCGCAGATGGGAACACTCATTCCTCCAAGGGAAAAAGTCCTTATTTATGGAGATGGTAACTCTAAAGGTACAAGTTAATATCACCTACAACCTTTTCTTTTAGTTTTCTATTTAAAATACCTAATTTTTTCAAATAATAACCGATTACTAGGATCCAACTAAGCAAGTTACCTAATATAACTTAAAATCTGATTTATTGTATTTTTCGGATTCCAAAACTACCCCTATTTACGACTTAATGTGTTATTTCGGGGAGTGGGCGCGGGCGGGAGGTGTGGTGGTGTAACTAATGACACATGTTGAATTTGGAAAGATCTTCAAATGGTTGTAATGGATGTAGGAATTAATTTAGAAACTTATTTGAAATTAAATATTAAATTCAAGATTAACTTATTAGTAATCTATTTTTGAATTAATATTGTTTTCCTTTTATGAATTATGACTAGTAATCTATTTAACATATTAATAATTTAAATTCAATATTAAATTTAGGAATTAATGTTGTTTTCCTTTTATGAATTATACGACTAGTAATATATTTTATTATAGTTTTATGAATAATAGTGTACATTTTAATTATGTTGAAAAATAATTTGATAATCTATTTATTGTTTGTTTTTTGAAAAACATTTTTTTTTTAAAATGAAACTATTTTTCTCTAAATAGCGTACCTATTTTTGTAATCACCTACAACCCTTTCTTTTATTTTTCTATTTAAAATACCCAATTTTTTCAAGTAAAACCCGCTGACTAGGATCCAAGTAAGC